TTTTATAAAGAAACAAATTTAAAGTAATAAATTGTCTTATTTATAGTATTATAGAGAGTCAATTAGTCAGTCGGGTTTCAATTATATCTTATTACTAATGTATTTTTTTTATTTGGAATGTTTATAGAAAAACACATTAAAAATAATATATTAATATTAAGTCAGTTTTTACGCAGATATTTATTGAATTATTTTACAGTAAATGTCCTTATTATTATTTTATATAGAAACATTATTTGACAGAGTCATAATATCGAATTAAATTGAAAATAAATTTCACATATTTTGTTATATGTTAAGAATTTTATAAAGAAACAAATTTAAAGTAATAAATTAATTGTCTTATTTATAGTATTATAGAGAGTCAATTAGTCAGTCGGTTTTTCAATTATATCTTATTAACTTATGTATTTTTCTTTTATTTGGAATGTTTATAGAAAAACACATTAAAAATAATATATTAATATTTAGTCAGTTTTTATTACTAATTAAAAATATAATCAAGCCGTTTGCATTTTTTTAAGAGACTTTATTCGAACAATGATTTTTATTAATTGATATGTGTAGTTAAGCACGTATTTATACAAAGGTTATCTGTAGTTATAATAATGGTGATTATCTCCCCGTCTAGGGCCGAGGACCTGACCTTCAATGTCCGCGATTCAGGCCCTAAGATCGTGTATACAAGTCAGCTAGGTATACTTCCGGGAGATATTATTTCTATTTATAACGTAATAATGTCATTCTTAAAAAAGAATCCAAAATGGCCGCCGCACGTCTGTTATTCAACACGGCCGCCGTGCATGTGTAGTAAGGTCATTTCTTCTATGCAAATGAGTTACTATTTATAGAAAACAAAATGGCCGCAGCGCATGCGCATTCGTGGCCCTAAAGAGACGCATATACTACTGTTATACATTTTATTGGAGGGAAAGTTACTTAATAGAATGAGTTACATTAAATTCGATCAAATTAGGATTAGCCAGAAAATATTTATGACGTGGTGAAACAAAAAAGATTAGGGGAATGTTTAGATGAAGGTCAGAAAATGATCAGATTTAGGACAGAAAAGGGTTAATATTTAGGTCGGAAAATGGTCAGATTGAGGTCGGAAAATGGTTAGAAACTGGTTAGATTTAGGTCGGAAAATGGTCATATTGAGGTCGGAAAATGGTCAGATTGAGGTCGGAAAATGGTTAGATAATGGTCAGATTTTGGTCAGAAAAAGGTTAAATAATGGTTAGATTCTGACATCTACCTGACGTCAGATTATTACGTCAAAAAAACTTTCAAATCCAACCGTTTTTCCGACCGTCATCCGACGTCAGTACCTGACTTAAATCTGACGTCAGTATGACGTCTTGTGTTTGCTGGGACATTTCCTTTGTTCAATAAACATTCGCTTTGATCTTAGGAATGACTCTTTTCTGAGAGTACAATTTAAAGGCCATTGATGCCGCAGATACGCAGATCATTTTTAGTTCTCTTTTAGTTTTTGGCATCTTTTTACAGTTTCCAAAACATTACTTATCTGCAGTATAAATGAACTAACATTTGCTTCTTCTGCTGTATAAGCAATTTGTATAATTATAATGAAATAGTATTTTGTATTGCAAAGTCAAAATACTACTTTGTTTACATTTCGCTAAATTTATGACACATTGCCGCACATTCAACCCTACTTTCTTCATATGTCAAAACATCTAACATGCTCTAAATTCATGCTAACATTTAAAACACATGTTTCACATTTCTAAATAATGAAAGAAATATATGGATTTCTGAGGCATAACGCGCCTAAGTATCTTATCTTATTGATTTCAAACTGATTTTTTCAAAGTGACTATTTACTTTTTACCTTACATGGCCAATATTCAAGTTTAAATAGAGATCAAATTCTTATGGTTTTCTATTATGTGATCTAAATGACCTGTTATATGTAAAGATAACCTTCAAAATTGACGTGCATTTTATCTTGAGGAGTATTCTGACCCATATTTATAAAGATGATACAGGTGAGAAATCTGGGAAAACGGATTACTAAGGTGTATTCTGATCCACGTGATTTTTTTATCTTGGGTACAACCAAATTCTCAAATTGTTTGAAAATGAAAATTTATCAAACCAGAAATATGCCTCTAGCAAAAAATAAATGCCTCTGTTGATCATGTCTACCAAGATGCTTTTTACTCAGGTCACATGACTATCTGGGTCCTCAAACTCAGATAATGTTTATTAACTGTCATCAGTACATAACCGTTTATAAGGCATCATATTGCATATTGAAAATAGTAGAAATAAACTATACATTTAGTAAAGGTAGAACACTACATATGAAGGTTAACTTGTTTTTGTTGCAGATTATTCATTTATTACAAACAAGGTACATAAATTATCATGCTAAAATATTCCATAAGATTATGCAATCATCTGTAACTTCAAACAAATGATACTGTTTGACAAAAGACACATTGTACATGGGACAATCATAGGACTTCAACTTCAGCATAATGTTATAAATTTAAAGATGTATGAGAAAAACGTGTTTTCTAAACTATTTTATTTCCATCATTACATACATAATTAATTCATGTAAATAACGTTCAAATAAATACAAAAAAGAATGTAATCCAGGACGGACAAGTATCACAGAAAATATCAAATTACTCAGAGACAAATATAGTAATATAAACATATAAACATAAGTATAGTAATATAGCAACATTCGTACAAGTATATCCTGAATCCGGTAAATGGAATATTTAGTAAGATTCAATCTAAATACAGATGATATTAACAAATATCAGTACCGTCATTTTATAGTTGGACTGCTAACCCGGCTGCATTGCTATAATGGAATAGCACTCATCTAAAACATGCACCAGACCATTATCAGATTACGAAATTTCAAACTCACGATGTAAAGTAGGTTATATCTATATTATTTCTTTAGGGATTTAATTCACATTTCAAAAATATGTTATTAACATGTTTTACATAATTATGTGATTCATAATGCATACTCCTGCATTTCCAGTATTATCTGCATTAGTTTTTGAACTTGGAATTGAGTTGATATCAATATTCTTTTAAAGCACCTAGTATTATCTTAATTATTATAAGTGATATCTCCTTTAGTCTTAAAATATTGAGATAAGTAACTTTTTTAATTACTCACATCATGTATGACAACGTTCATATCATCCTTATGTCTAGAGTTAATTACTCTTTGAACTTACAATTTTACTTTAAAAACTTATATACTTCTCGCTCGTATTGTTTTCACTGAAGAAATTTACTTCATATAATGTATTGCTTTTTCATAAGAGCATAGAAATGTCTGTTTAACTTTTATTGGCACGGTCACATGCATAGTATGTGATGCATAAGTCTTTAAGCAGTTCAGTGCTTTCTTGATATTGATTTAGAAATAAATTTATATTATAATTGATTATAATTATCATAGTATTGTCTTCCTTTAATGCATCCAGTATTTAATAAGTCGAGCGTGCTATCTCCTCTGATAGCTCTTGTTAACACTACCGTTTTGAATGCAACTTTTATGTTCGTACAATAACTTTATGGTTTTATTTTCGGTATACCGTAGACAGTTGAAAAATACTAGTCATATAGATACTCGGCATATCCGAGTGGTTAACACGTCGAAATAGTAAACTAATGGTCGCTAGCCGCAAGGGTTCCAACCTGTAAGGGGCAAGTCGTTGTTTCCTTGAGCAAGCAATTTTACACACATTTTGCAGTACAGGTTGGTTCCTGGAACGGATTCAAAAGTGTGTCTATAAGCTTATAGCTTTCTACACAATCAGCTTAAATACAAATTCTGTATAAACCAAATACATTGTACAAGGAAGAAGATAAACTATTATTCATGACCTTACTTTTTGTGAGGTTATCAATGTAGTTTCGGTGTATTCTTCGCGAAATCGGCTTATCTTTAAATGAAAAATCGATTCTTGAAAAATGCCTTTGTATACTGAATAGCAACAAGTATAGCAAACAAAAATGCAATATACAGTTCTAACATTATTCATATTCATACATATCGATATGCAAAACACAAAAGTCGCCTTCGGTACGCTAGCCAAGTCGTCATTCTCACGAATGATCATTCAGAACAAAACCGTTTGTATTGTAATTATTTCAACTATACAAATATTTGTACATTTATTTAATTTAGTTTGATAGAACTTTGTCAATGTTTATTTTTATAATGGAACCATATACATGTATTGTTTCGAGTAATTATTAACCTAATTCTTTTATTACTAGCACTTCTATAGAGCTAAACTAAACTGCATATCGTCACATTCGTACAGCAACGGGTTAAATCTTATTAAATTAGATAAAAACTTAACCCGTTATTGCACTTAGGTAATGATATCTGAATTGTCAGTCTATATAATTCAGAGTTCTGCTACTATTCAGAACTATTTATTTTGCTCCATCTCGTTTTTTTTCTCTCTTTAGATTATATTATTCATAATATATTTCTTCTTCTGTCAATATCATATACTTTAAACTAATGAAAGTACATGTAATTACAATCATCTTACACTGTTAATCGTTCAAAGATAAACAACAGTACTTGAAAATAAATATGTGAGGAGCTCTAGACACATTTAGTGCTTTCGTATATTGTACTGGAAAAACATAATATTACAATTTATTTTGACATAGTAAAAATGTTTAAAATAGAAGATATTTTTAAAAATCTAATGAATAAATAAATGGGTTTATATCAAAATCGGCATTTATTTTTACATGCCTTATGATGTTCACAGATAATTTAATATTGTGTCATTTATCCAGAGCTTGTATTTATAAAAATATCTTAACGTTTATTAAATGAATGTGAAGCTCTAAAAACTTTTATTGTTTGGCATACATTTCTCAGTATTATCCATATATCAGTCTAATTATACTATTTAAAACTATTCATTTTGCTCCATCTCGGCTTTTTTTTCTTTACTATATATTATTCATAATATGCCAATATCGGTAGCAAAACGTGTCGAGAAAGTTTCCAAATGATTTCCAACCTTATCAAGTATTACTATTTCCTTGAAGCCTACCATAAAGAACTTTCCACCTTTGAAAATAAATGACCTAAATAAACGAAACTTTCGATCTAATTCAATCTCTGTATCTTTGCTTATGTGACCTGACAAGTCCACTGATAGTAACTGAATTTTAGACTGGTAATCAGATGAAATCAACACAGCTATCTGATTAGAATTTACATTAGTCAATCTCCAAACATATGTACATTTTAAGGCAATAACTCCCACTACTTGTGTATTCCGTGCATCAATCACTTTAACTACTTTGTCATCGCATTCCAATAATGCAAGAAAACAAGTTTGAACTGTGGCTAGTCTTTTCATCAAGATTGAATCATTTTCTCTAAAATTACTAACATCAATTTTTGTTACAATGTTTGCTGTCCGAAGTCTGCAAATTTCTGTTGTATTTTCTTTAATATTTTGGATTTGATTCGAAGGTGCAAGATAAAACGGTTGTATTCTACTGTCCTGTGTTAACTTTTCAAATCGTTTGTCTAATTTATCAAAGTTTTGTTTTGATTGTTTTATTGCTATAAAAAGCTCACAATTCTGTTCTGCTTCCTGCTTTGATTTTACCTTGGTTTTAATCTTGGAAAGATCATCATTGATCAAGTCAGTGGTGTGGGTAGCAAATTTTAAATATTGCTTGTTAGCTTTGTTAATATACCCCATTCGCCTATCCATGTCAGCCTCTATGTGATCAAAGAATGTGTTGATCTCATCACGTTGTCTTCTCAGTTCTGCTTTTCCCCGTTTCTTTATATCATAATACATATTTGTTTTGAATTGAATCTTTTCTTTGCTATTTTTGATTGCTTTATCTTTCCTTTCAAGTTCGCTTAAAACAGTTTTATATTCTTCACTCGTGTGAAAGTTCTTAGCGATGTCAGGTATATGGTCGACATTCTCACATTGACGGTGGCTAACAGTTATGCAGGCACTGCAACCAAGCATGTCACATGAAAAACAAAAATATTCCACAATTTTGGTCGGATGCTTAGCACATTTCTCTACACAAACATCTTGAGCACGAGACTTTCGTGAGTCAAGTGACATTTTATCATTATCTTGAAGCACATGGTGTTTAAAAGCTTTAAATTTTATGTGAATTTTGCAACATTGTTCACATAAATATTCTGAACAGTCGATACAGAATCGCTCAGCTATGATCAGATTACCATCATTTAGGCACGGTTCACAGTACACTCCCCTTACTTCATCAAAGTCTGCTAACACCGACTTTCCGTGATCTTTACTTGTTGCCATTTTATGTTTAATGTTTTGTAACCAATATGAATAATTTTAAGACCACTGGAATTTATTTAAATCCAAAATCAGGTGGGTTTTTTTCAGATAATTTACCCAACTTATATCTTGATTTTTATGTAATATTTATTCGTTACGACGGTAACAATTTAAAGGCACAATAAATAGTGTTCACATTAAATGCATTGTACGATAGTCTTAGAGAATGTCCGGGAACCAGACTAGTACATTTCGAACATGATGTAAATATGTTTTAACGTCCGAACATACATTTTGTGAACTATTATTCTTTCCAGCTATATTCTTTGCACATTTATATGTAATACAGGCGAAAACAAATATCCAAAACTGTTTATTAGATAGTAACACTTAAATCCATAAGATATGCGTCTATACAATGACCCGGATATGAACTAGATCGGTGTTGTCTATATTACAAACTGTGTAGGAAGATGTACGCGTAAATGGGATTTTTCCCTGATGGCAGGTTACATGACATTATATACTTATTTGATTTCTCAGTGGAAAACTTGTATTTGGTATTAAGTTTGTTTGTTGTGTGTAAGTGTCATGTTTGATGTAAATTGTTTTATACAATCATCTTGTATTATTACCATTTACATTTTTTTTGCTAACATGTACGGAAGCGTCTTGGTGCCAATTCATAATGTTCTATAAAAAAATAAACTCCTACGTAGGAGAGAAAAAACCTAATTAAGAGTTAATAACTCCTACGTAGGACTTTTAAACTCCTACGCAGGGCTTTGTAAGTCCTACGTAGGAGTTACGAAGTCCTACGTAGGACTTATAAAGTCCTACGTAGGAGTTATAAAGTCCTACGTAGGACTTACAAAGTCCTACGTAGGAGTTTAAAAGTCCTACTTAGGAGTTACAAACTCCTAATTAGGTTATTTTTATCTAACTCCTACGTAGGACTTTATAACTCCTACGTAGGAGATAAAAAAAGCCTAATTAGGAGTTTATAACTCCTACGTAGGATTTTTAAACTCCTACGTAGAACTATATATCTCCTACGTAGGACATACGTAGGACTTTATAACTCCTACGTAGGAGATAAAAAAGCCTAATTAGGAGTTAATAACTTCTACGTAGGACTTTTAAACTCCTACGTAGGACTTTATAACTCCTACGTAGGAGATAAAAATCCTAATTAGGAGTTTGTATTTCCTACGTAGGACGTTATGACTTTATAAGAAATGCATACAGAATGCTTTACAAATCTCAAAATTCCGGACCGGTATATCGGCAAAGGAACAAGACACTAAACCACCCTCCCCCCGGCCGAAATTTCAAATTTTGAATATAGAGGACATTTCACCTTTGGTTCATACAGAATTGATTTAAGTTTGATTGTGTAGGAAGCTATAAGCTTATAGACACACTTTCGAATCCGTTCCTGGAACCAACCAGTACGTCCTTAGCAATGAATGTAAAGTTTCTTGCTCAAGGAAACAACGGCTTGCAGCTAACGGGGTTTGAACCCATGCTGCTAGCGATCATTAGGCTACTAGTCACACGGCCATGCCGCCACACTTCACCTTTTAATAAAGTGTCTCAGGTTTCAAGAGTGTACAGTGTCTTAGGGTGAGGTGTCTGTAAGCATTGGCGATGTATCCCGAAAAATTGCTTTACAGCTATTCGAAAAAAAACTAACTCGACAACAAGCATATAAATATCAAAATTTTAAAATGCTTTAACGATTACGTTTCCATACGAACTAGCTGAACAAAACGAGCAACTTATCCATTTTCGGCCGTTTCAAATGGGGCGCAGGGGGAGTAGTGAAGTATCTTGTTCCTGCTCCGTAAAGATTAAGAAGATAACGGTTTGCGGAGTATTATGCATGCATATGTTTAATAATTAATTACATTGTACTCGTATATCCTACTTTGAACAAAATTTAACCCATACATTTTGTGTACATGTGTATAATAAATATAACTAAACGTACATAATACAGAATCATCGTTTAATATATGCAGAGAATGACAAAACATCTCTGGCTACAGACTAAAGGTATTTACTAAAGCGGCTTGCCACAATTACAACTTGACACATATGAGCCGCGCCATGACAAAACCAACATAGTGGGTTTGCGACCAGCATGGATCAAGAGCAGCCTGCGCATCCGCGCAGTCTGGTCAGGATCCATGCTATTCGCTATCAGTTTCTCTACTTGTAATAGGGTTTGTAAGCGGATGCGCAGGCTGGTCTGGATCCATGCTGGTCGCAAATGCACTATGTTGGTTTTTTTATGGCGCGGCTCATATGTGTCAAGTTGTAATTGTGGCAAGCCGCTTTAGTAAATACCTTTAGTCTGTAGCCAGAGATGATTTTGTCATTCTCTGCATATATTAAACGATGATTGGTTTTGTCATGGCGCGGCTCATATAATTTATTTTCCTACATAATATGCTATCTTAAGTTATACTCTAGCATACATGTCCGTCGAAAGCTGTGCTTTCAGTACTTTGATATCTATCCTACGTAGGAGTTATAAAGTGCTACGTAGGAGTTACAAAGTCCTACGTAGGAGTTATAGTCCTAATTAGGCTTTTTTAAATCTCCTACGTAGGAGTTATAAAGTCCTACGTAGGAGTTTAAAAGTCCTACGTCATGTACGTAGGAGTTATAAACTCCTAATTAGGCCTTTTTTTTATCTCCTACGTAGGAGTTATAAAGTCCTACGTAGGAGTTACAAAGTCCTACGTAGGACTTATAAAGTCCTAAATAGGAGTTTAAAAGGCCTACGTAGAAGTTACAAACTCCTAATTAGGCTTTTTTTATCTCCTACGTAAGAGTTTTTTTTATAGAACATTATGAATTGGCACCAGGACGCTTCCGTAAACATGTGTCTATTAAATATTGATATTATTTAGGGCTATTTATCTCTGCACACAAATGTTTGTTTTTCCAACAAAAATAACATCTCTTTCATTATAAATCTTACAAATGAATATGAATGACAATATATCAATTCTAACTTTTAACTGCCAGGGGCTAGCTGGGTTACAGATAAGAAAAAAATGTGAAAATGTGCTATTTTTAAAGCAAAAATCATTTAGTATTTATTGTCCCCAAGACACGCATTGGACAAAGTCCGAGAAAAAATTAAATTAGAACCATGTGGGGGTATTTTTTATTATTTCATTAAACAGTCAGTCTAGGGGAACTGCGATTCTTTCAATAGTAATTTTAAATTTAAAGTTAACAGATCTAGAAAAGACAACGATGGCAACAAAATAATTCTTGATATCGAATTTCAAGAGTACGATTTACATTAATTAACATTTACGGTCAAAATAAAGATGACCCAAAATTTTACAAAAAATATAAAGGAAGATATAGAATATTTTAATAATGATAATATAATTTGGACAGGAGATTTTAACCTAATTCTTGATCCCGAAAAAAACCCTCAAAAATTATATTCATGTCATTAATCCACGGGCTAGAGAAAAGATTTTGGAACTTAAAGCTTATTGACATATGGCGCGAACTTCATATCGAAACTAAGAAAAAAATACTTGGCGTACTCAAAATCTTAGCAAACGAAGTAGGCTTGATTTCTTTCTTATCTCCGAAAATTTTTTTTCAAGTGTATATGAATCAAGGATTGATTTTGGATACAGAATTGACAATTCTATTGTCTGTCTTAAAATAAAAGGAAACACTATAAAACGAAATAAGCTCTTCTGGAAATTTAATAAATCATTATTGAAAGATAGTAAATATATTGAACAAATCAGAAATGTTGTAAAGGAAACGAAACAAATTTATGCTCAAGAAAATCGAAACTTACAAGAAATACAGATATTGATATAAAATTGAATATAAACGACCCACTTTTCTTTGAAACATTGCTTATGGAAATTCGCGGCAAATCAATTTCATATTTCACCTTCTTAAAAAAAACATTCAGACAAAAAAGAAAAAGAGCTTATCGAAAATTTGAATAAACTTAAGGTAAATGAACAAAATAATAAGGTTTGGTTTAAACATATTTATTTAAGCTCCATTGCGAAACAAGTTCTTCAAACTTATATTAATCACTTTCGAGTCTGCTTCCTGGAAGCAACCAGTACTGGTGTCATATGAAATCAAAGCACAGAAGGCGCTGAATTTGTTTGGGTCTCAGAATGTAAGAAAGGTGCAGGTTGTGAGATTATATGTTTTGTGCCACCAATGCTTTCCAGCGTTTTAATTGTAGTAAATTGGCTATAAGACTAATTGCAACACTGATATTCAATCCAATGTTTATTTGACTTTCACAATTTAAAAAAATGAGTTACCTTTACTGGGATTTGAACTCCAGACCTCTCGCTTCCTAAGCGAGCCCAAAAACCCTTCAGCCACGGTGAATTTATATGTGAACGGCCTGAAGAAAACCATGTTATTCTAAATTAGGGTTTGTAACGACTTTAACTTCTGTTTAACACAGATGTAAATTATCCTGGAGCTTACTATAAGCATGTATATTTATAAAGAATCAAAGGGCTGCAAGTTCTGTGGTATTTTCTGATCTTTGCAATCTAAATCGTACTGTATATCTGTATGCATTTTCCTGTATAAGTTTATTTTTATGTATTATAATTCCTTTTGTAAGGCACCAGAGTTTGATACATACGGAATTCTGCATAATTAGAGTTGCATCAAAAAATCATTTATGTTCTTTTTTTACGACAGCCACACTTTATCCTTGTATATCATGGCTACTTCCTTAACAAAAACACTTAAAAAAAGAATTTAACAAAAAAAAAGTTTCCTCGACTGGGATTCAAACTCGAGACCTGTCACTCACGAAGCGAGCGCGTTACCACTGTACCACGGAGTAATTATACAGAACTTGTCTGAATAATATCAAGTGATTCTAAATTTAGAACTTCCATTGCAGTCCGGGTTTGTAATCCTTATTAATTTCGAGGTATTTTGTTCAGGGTAAACCTGTTGTTTAAAATTGAAGTAAATATTTTAGCGAA